CCACAACCACCTGAATTATGCGCTTCACAGGACTACCATCCAGGCTTCTGATTCTATATACAACTGCCCGTCCCCAAAAAAAAACTCAGCACAGCAATTGCCATTGCCACCGCTGCTAACACAAACCCCATCCCCCACCCACGTCTCTGTATCCACACCAGCACGAACTAGCAATCAAAGCACCAACATTGATGGAAAAAATAAAACCAGATGAGAAAGAACCTTTGTGCTTCTTTTCAACTCTCATCATCATCAGTCAAAACGCGGTAATCTGCACCGTAGACGAGCCCTCATCTTAACCTCCCGTCTCCCGCTATTAGGTAAAGCGCTATGAAGTTGGCAATTTGTCCACTGCATGGCAATCATCTTTGCTAACACTTGGTTTATGCCGGCCTTTGCTGACTTGTCTAAAGTTCATCCCTTTTGCAATAGATACAAATGCCATAAGTCCATCTATTTGAGTGAGAAGATAAAAACCAAACAAATCAAATTCCAACAACAACCAGCAGGTCATTATTCAAATAATTAAGCAGTATTGTTTGGCCTACAGTAAGCCATGTTATGAATTAAGGGGACATTTGCAAATCAGTTGAGATAAGCAAATAGAACCCCCCGTCTGATAACCATTTCGTTTGTAGTATTTAGGTTTACGTTTTCACTTTTTATCTCTCGTTTGACCCATATATTTTCCTTATATCTCTAACGAAAAAACTATAATTCAGCCAGATTTTTATTTGCGCCTACAGTGGTGGAAAGCAATGCTGCTTATGCACCCTGGTGTGGTTCGATCCCACCGATCCCCCTCCCTTCTAACAACTAACAATTTAACCCACTAACGCTATCGTTTGTGAAAAAAGAAAACGAAATGGTTATCAAACTGGCTAGCGACTTTCCTAAATTGAAATAAACTAGTAAGAATTTGAAGGCAAAAGAACTTACAACGACATAAATGATTGAGAAAGAGGCAATTGTCTTGTATCTTCCCCAAATAGGCATCAGCCAGAAAAGCTCCAAGCAATGGAGTAAGGTAGCAAGTTCCACTCCAATTCGAGTTATTTTTCGCAGCAACAGCACTCGTCTGGTTCAATTGAGTCTTGAAATAAATCACCAGATTAGAGCTCATCCCATAATATGCCAACCTCTCACAGCATTCATTCCCTACTCACAAATCAAACCCAAAAACATTAATTAATTAAAAAACCAAAGAAAATTAGCATCATTAAAATAAAAACCCAATCTTTTATTCAACTTCCCGGACCAAAATTCATTGCATGCATGTTGGAAATCTTCAAGAAGTACCTAGAATAAAAGGGCAGGCTTTCCAGGTTCCGGTTGCATTTCTCTTCGCTGGGTTTCCACGGAAATCCACTGTGCCATCTTTTGTGTACGCATCTTTTTCTTCTGGTGGTGCTGCTTTGGCGAGCATATCATCTTCTGCCATGGCTTCTGGACTCTGTTTGCTCTTGCCCCTTTGGGGTGTCCCCAAAATTTACAAAAACCCAAGCTGCAAACCCAGCAACTTGATTAAGCAAAAGGGTTAATCTTTTTCACTATTTTTTTGCCCAAATTTAAATAGAAAATTGCATACCAGAGGTAGAAGGCAGGCCGGCAGAGATTCAGATGGATTAATGGAACTTTTTAAATGTAATTATCTGTTATTCGGCAAGTGAAAGCAAAGCAGAATACTGATGAGTGTGGTGGTCAATTATGTAGGCTCCCACGGCGGAAAAGATTTGGCAAATAGCCAGTTTATTTGCATTGACTTGTCTCGAGAAGATAACGAGCAAAGTCATCAGTGTGGGTCACGTGTGGATGAGAGTGTGGACGCATGTGGCCGGAGAAGTGTAAAATATTATTAGGTATTGCAATTGCCGTGGGTTTAGGGTGGAGGCTGGAGCAAACAGGATGCTCTTCGGATTCTTTTGACGAGGTTCTTAAATATTCATGAATCGTGGTTATTTATTGTACATTGTAATTAATTTTTATCAAGGACTGTTTGTGTTTAATTTTAAATAAAAATATTTAAAATAATTTATTATATACAATAAACGAACATGATTCATGAATCTCCGGATCCTCTCAAAGAGAATCATGCGAGGATCTGGATTCTAGAGTGGAGATTCCAAGTTTTCGATTGCGTTTGAAATTGGAAATACAGTGTGTGAATATGCATACTTGACAGCCGTATGAGCTTATTATACTGAAATCGTGCATCAATAACGTGACACGTTCTACATCACATGAATTTTTATTATAATTATTAATTTAACTTTTACTTAAATTGAGGTACAAATTTGACCATGACAAATTATCTGGTGCACAAATTTAGTATGTCTAATCTATAGCTAGTGACAAAATATTTGCAGTACAAGGTAAAGTTTGCTGTTTTTCACCTACACGAGAAAACAACTTTTTTTTTAAAGAAAACTAATGAAAAGAACTTGAAAACTTTGAGTTTTAATGATAAAGACAAAATAAAAGGTAAAATAAATAGTACCGTATTTGACTTTTTAGTGTAAAAATGTGGTTTTTCATTAAAATGAACAATACCGTGAGCTTTTCGTTAAAACTTCTTTTTTTTTTTGGGTAATTCTAGGCTAAAAAATACTTAGCTCATTTTCTGACAATACTCGTTTTTACATGCAAATTACATCAAGTCTAAGCTGAAAAATAGTAAAATACTTAGCTCATTTTACAATACTCGATCTTACATGCAAATTACATTAAGTATTCATTTTTCTAATGTGTGCTGTGATTTTTCAAAGAACGAACGTCTTTTCAAGATAAGGAGACGAGCATTATTTTTTCGCAGAATCAACAACAAACTTGATTCTAGTATAAACCCTTGATGGTAAAGTATGCATTTTAATATTGTGCCCTCTGATTCTGTTAGACAAGAGGAGACTCTTCCTTCTTGTTCTTCATGGCTATAAACAGTTTTAATATTATTCATTAAACAATATTAAACTGTTACTGGAGACGTAATCTAGATTCTAAGGTATCAACATTGAACCGAGGAAAAATAATAAAATAGTGTGTTCACAAACATGGTGGTAAACAATATATGGAAAGAAACGGTTACTAAAGAGATTTTTCAGTATATTTAAAAAATAAAGCAGTACAGTATGTGTTATTATAAAAATAATGATTTTTTTTAATATTTTTAAATTATATAATTACATGTAGTATACAACTTCATGTCTAAGCACGTTGAAACATCTCTTCCTCATCGAAGACATTTTCAAATGAAAAATCTTACTTTAAAGCCGATCTTTCAACCTAAAAAACATGATGGGTTATAATTTTATATGAAACCAAGTATAGACAAAAAATTGCAGACGTAATTAGATTAACATCCTACACGTACTCCAAGTCAAGTGTGAACAAAAATATATGGCCAACTTTGTACGTTGAAATTTACTCCAAGATGACATAATCAGAAAGGTCAGAGATTGCGTAGTTGATGGTTTTGCATTATTCCTAGTTTCAAAGACATTATTTGAAAAATAAGAAAAAATATATATAAGGTTCTAAAAGAAGTTAAACGCTAGTCGGACGATAATGATAGATTTAAGAAGGTTTATTATATATTGTATAAATAAGTATTTATTTATTCGTGAAAAAACACATATTTGTATTGTGTATACAACAATTGCAAAATAAAAAAACATATTGATTGTCAAGTATTAGAATATATTGAAAACATGAGAACAAACATATTATGAGTGTTCGTCCAAATATTAATAAGTCTCTTACATTTTACTGACAAAATAAAATGCAAAATGATAGTTATATATTTTATGTATAAGTGAGAGTTGAAACCTAGACGGACGCTTAAACGAGCTAACCCGATGCCTAAACGAGTCTAGATGTACTTTCTTAATTTTCAAAGGTCTAAAAACTTATCAGAACGATGACCAGCCGTTTAGCCTGCCTAATCAGCTCTAGACGAGAATTTTTGGCATAGTGTATATAAGTAAACAAAGAGACGTATCTTGGTACAGGATATTTTTGGTAGGGCATGGCTTGACTCATTCCCACCCTTCTCTTTCAGCGCCAGCTTGCAGACTCTTCAATTAGGCCACCTTTAATTATTTTATAGAAAGGTAGAAGATTTTGGCTAAGTTTCACAATTAATCAATTATAATAATTTAATATCAAACTCGTTATTTATAAAAATTGAAACTAAAATCTCTTATCTTATAGGCAAGGATAATATCATTAAATGATAACTTTACTGGAAAATCAACGCAACTTTAAAGTAATGATCTATACACCCTATCAATCAACATTTTAGCTAAAAATGGTTTTTGAGATTGACATAATTTTTCACTTTGGTCATTGATATTTGAAATTGATAAAAGTGATCCATGAGTTTGTCCATCGTAAATCATTTTGATTCTTATATGAAAAATCTTTGTTAAATAAGAACCAAAATGATAATACTTCAATTTAATAATTAATGGGTCAAAATGTATGTAGGTAAACAAATTCATGAATCACTTTTATCGATTTAAATCTTAGAGACCAAAATGAGGAGTTATGTCAATTTCAAAAACTATTTTAGCTAAAAAGAATTGAGCCCTATCAATCTAATAGTAATTCTCTTCCCACTATATATTAAAAGAAGTTTTAAGTTTGCATCCCAACCCCTTCGACAAAAGGATAAAAAAATGTTCCATTAAGCCGGCAAAAACATATGGTGTCAATTTTTTGTGCTAACATTTGGGTAGGAGCCGGATGCCCTTCAATGACCGCCGTACATGAGCCATGGAACGTAAAGCAACTACACCTCCACGGCGGGCAATGGCGGTGGGGAATCAACCGGTGCACTCCAATATTGATTTTATATATATATATATATATATATATATATATATATATATATATATATATATATATATATATATAAAACATCTTTATATACTAAAACTCAGTCCCACGGGCACTGTGGATGACCAGTGTACTGACCATTCTGCCCCTGGGTTTCTCCTTGGTTTCCTCCTTTGTGACCTACTTTGCACAGTGAGATTACGTTTTTCCGCATTGGATGCACGTGTCGACCATCGCTGTGCAACGCCTGCTCCTCCACTTTTCTTCTCCATTTTTCCCTTCCGTTTTCATTTTTCCCACGCGTCGATCATCGATGGACCTGCTTTCGCGTCTCTCTCTCTCGCTGTTCTCAGTTCCGCTATTCTAAACTCTAGCTTCGTGTCTCCAAAACGGCGAATTTTCTCGCCCTCCAACCTTCCATCTTTCTCTCAGGAATTATCGACAACGGTGCAATTAGATCCGATTCAATTTTTTACCCAGAAACGTTGGCGTTTCCTGGTGAGTTTGATAACTTTCTCAGTGTGGGTGTTTTAATTTTTCTTTTGGGTTTTAGATTTGCAGATGGGTTTTGTGTTTATGTTTGCTTTTTGTGATTCTGTTTGTAGGCTTGGATCCTCCTCCTCCTTCTCTTCCTCACCCAAACCAGCAGCCCCACCTTCGCTTGATACTGACGGAAACACCACGAATTGAGGCGCAACACCAATACTGTAACAATTATAAGAAAAGAGCTCCAAACCCGCAAAGGTTTTTTTTATTTATTTAATTTTTTTTTTTGGTTCTGGGTTTTGAGCTGTTTGGATACTGAGAATCAGTTTTTCATTTTTTTTTTGTTTCTGGGTTGCCTACAATTAAGAGAACTAGGGAATGGATATAGCGTGAATTTAAATTCTGGGATATCGCTTGAGGAAAATCTTGGATTTTTTTTAATTTTTTTTTATTTCAATGAATATTTGTATTGATTCACTGACCTCTTTTTTATTTAGTAGGGGAAAATGGAATAAGGCAATTGAATGAGCGGTTTGTACAGTAGCTAAGTGCATAAAAGTATATATTTTCTCTGTGTGTGTTTGTATCATTTGTTTTTATTATGATTCCTTCCCTATTTCTGCAATTTTGTGCATTGGGCTTTCTGAGATTTATGATTTGATATTTTTGGTTAGTTTTTTTTTTTTTTTAATGGAATTTGTTGTTTGGTCATTGATCTAATTACAATTGATATACGTGTAGAAGTAGGATTACAAATAAATAGCAGCATGTGAACTAAATACAAAACAATCAAGATTGAACTTGATCTGCAGCAGCCGCATCCTCTGAGGAATCCGTGTTGGAACAGAACTGTATTTGTGCAGGTAGTATTGCAGTCGGTTTATCGTTATTTGTACCCAGTAAGACCTAATGGACAATAAATTCTCTTATAAGCATGGGGAAAGTACCGAAATCCAAGTTTTATTCTCTTACATCTACCTGTGTTTCCAGATCTTGCAAACGTATTTGAAGTGTTGTTGCCACAACTTCTGTTGTATCCCAATCCTTCTGACGCTTTAAACGGAGAGGCTGCAGCTTTAATGATGTGTTACCAAGCTGCTTATGAACAAAGAGTTAAAGGTATTGATTGCTTTTTAGGTTCGTGTCTCCCTGTCATTATGCATCTGTTTTCCATCGTTTTTTACTTATGTTTCGACTTTAGTGTACTCGTGTCGTGATTAGTGCTAATTAGAACATGGATTCTTCAACAGCAATCTTTTGAGTAGTGTGCAGTCTTTTGTTACATTATAGTGCTACTCTTACACCTGCAAATGTTAAGTGTGTTTGAGTTGAGAACCTTGCATTCTGTTACGTTTTGAGAAGTAAACTTAAGTTGACAAAAACAGAATGGTTATCAAATGGGACCTTGATTTCTGCATAAAAATGAGTTATAATGTGCATTATCGAATACTAAGTTACGTATTTTCTATAGTTGTTTCCTCGAGAGCATTCCAATGCATCACTAAACATGATTATGCAAGCAAACATTGTATTGTATTTAACTAATGTTACTAAACTCAAGCAGCAATTGTCATTGGACGTGTGTTCGAGCCACAGGTTTTCCCAAAATTAGATCGTTTCTAATTCCGTTCTGCAATCATGTTGTGTTTGTCTGTTTTTAATTGTTGGTGCAAGCTTGAAGGAGATTGTGAAAAATTGGACTGACTCCTCCAACAAAGCTATCAACCGCCTCCTTGCCCAAGGTGCTCCCCCCTCTCTTCTGTCCTCACTTTGTCTCTAAAATCTTCTCTCTCGATACTCAAGATATCATTCCTCACTTGGCCAAAAATGATAGATTATCCCTCATGATGTGTTTTCCATGTTTGAATATTTTGTTCATTCAGTGTCAAGTGTTTTCTTTTTGTGTATAAGAATATCTCATTAACTCATTGTTTTTTCTTTCTTGTAGGTGGTACAATAGTTCTATCCGATCATGGTCGCTATTTTTCAAAGGATGCTGTGGAATTTCAAGATTGAAAACCGATGGCTTTCAATCTTTTAAAACAAATTACCTTTGTAAGGTATCAAAACTATAATTTTTCTATAGCAAATAAAATTCTTTCCTTCACTATGGTAATTTTGTTTAGATTAATTATTGTTACACTGATACTAACTCAAATTTGTACACTGCAATAAGATCAATTTGTAATCCCGCAACAACGCGCGAGCATTACTAGCTAGTATGTATCTATTTATTAATACTATATTTTAATTATTTCATATTGTCAATAAGGTTGTCCACCTCTATTATAACACATAAATTAATAACACTATGTGATCACTACGGGGTGGTCAGTAGTTATGGATAAATTTCAGGCTGGTATCTCACACTGTACGTCATGCGTTTGATTCGGGGTGGTCAGTGGTTGTGGACAAATTTCAGAGGATTAGATTCTTGACATTGGTGAATCACTACATAGTGGTTAGGGGGAAGCTGAAATGCATAGTCTTTCTAACCCCCCAAAAAATAGATTGTTGTGATAATTCTACTAGCTGGTCTCCTTTTTTGAAAAAAAAATATACTAATAATAACATCTAGTGTGATTATATTATACTCATAAATTTCTCTAGGCCAACTCCAAGGTTTTGAAGCCAACTCGTCTTACTTGGTTTGAGTTGTGGAAATCATGGAATTTGGACATGTTAAAATTTAGTGTTTTGCTGACATTTGACCGCGTCCTATGGAATAGTAGTCTGCAAATTTACCTAAAAATGGCATGCCCAAAAGAATCCCTAGCTAATTTGTGAATCTCTGCCCTAAAAAGATAAAACTTTGTGAATCACTAAAAGTTGTCAATGCAGTATCCCTTCTTAATAAACACAAAAAAATGATCCCTCCAAATTTACGTCACTTCCTCAATACCTTCTATTGCGCAATCCTTTTGGAATTTTCAGTGACAACATTTGGGTAGGAGTTGTGGCAGCTACCCCGTCAATCACCGGCATTTATATATGTATTCCATGGAACGTAAACCAACTGCACCTCCGCGGTGAGTAACGGTGGTGGCAGATCCAACCCGGGAATCAGCGGGTGCACTCCAATATGCGCTTTCTCATGCAGTACTCGAAACGATGAGTTGTGTAAAACTTAATAACTCTCAAGGTTTCACTTTAATTGCATGCCATTTCAAAGAGAGGCTGCATGTATTTATATTCACGTTCAGATTACATCAGGGATTGAAATCCCTATTTTCAAGGCTGTTTCAAATTCAAAATTACAATAGAAGCTACAAAACGTATTACGGAAAACAACTAACATTCGAAAAGAAGTTTGAACTAATCTAACTTTTCTTGGATAAGAGTTTAGGTTGATCACAACCTCCTGAATTGGAGGAAACCACCACCAGACTCGGACTTGGTCTAACAGCCCCCTGCAAGCTGACGGGAGGAGAAACAACTGGAAGCTTAGAAACAAGATGCTTGAACTGTGAAGAGGACAATCCTTTTGTAAAAAGATCAGCAATCTGGTCTTGAGAACATATGAAATTCACAAATAACTCTTGATGAACCACTTTCTCACGAACATAATGATAATCCACCTCCAAGTGCTTTGTACGGGAGTGAAAAACTGGAGTTGAAGCGAGGGCAATAGAGGAAACATTGTCACACCAGATGGTTGGTCGATCAAGATGCAAGTGGAGGTCACGAAATAAAGACCGAAACCATGATAATTCTGCAGCAGTATAAGCAAGCTGCCTATATTTAGCTTCTGAACTCGACCTACTGATAGTTTTCTGCTTTTTAGAACTCCAAGACACGAGATTGGACCCTAAGTAAATGCAAAAACCACCTGTGGAATGACGTGTATAAGGATTCCCAGCGTAATCAACATCAGAATACTCCATAAGGTGTGCAGTACCAGGTTTATACACAAGACCATGATTGTATGTGGCTTTAACATATCGAATGATCCGCTTGACTGCCATCCAGTGAGTATTCTTTGGAGAGTGCATGAACTAACATACCTGGTTTACTGCATAAGAGAGGTCTGGTCTCGTGATAGTTAAATACTGAAGTGCTCCGACAACACTTCGATACATCTCAGAATCGTCATGTGGCTCACCGTTGTAAGCACTCAGTTTCTGTCCGCAAGAAACTGGAGTGGAAATTGGTTTAGCATCCAAAAACTTTGTACGCTTAAGCAAGTCCACAACATACTTGGCCTGATTCAAATACATTTGATCACCACAATAGGTTACTTCGACACCCAAAAAGTAATGAAGAGGCCCCAAGTCCTTCATTGAAAACAAAGTTCCCAATTTATGGATTAAGCGAGACATGTGGCGAGGACTATTCCCTGTCAACAATATATCATCTACATAGATCAATAAAATCAAGTAGACACCATAGTGATTGAAAAAAAATAAACTGTAAGCACAAGTGGATGCTTGAAACCCTAATTGAAGCAAAAACTCTAAAAACATTGAAACCAAGCTCTCGGAGCTTGTTTCAATCCGTATATACTCCTTTGCAATTTGAAGACATGTTTTGGATACTGCTCATCAATGAAACCTGCAGGTTGTCGCATATATACTTCCTCCTTCAGAAAGCCATGCAAGAAAGCATTTTGTACATCCAATTGCCTGATATGCCATTTTTTTTTAAACTGCCAAACTAAGAACAAGTCGTATGGTGCTGTGCTTGACCACAGGACTAAAGGTCTCGGTGTAATCAATCCCAGGCTATTGATGAAACCCATTTGCGACTAACCTCGCCTTGTGCCTCTCTACAGAGCCATCCGCCTGTCTTTTGATCTTAAATACCCATTTGTTTGGTAGCACATTCATTTGTGAATGATAAGGAACAAGCTCCCACGTGCCACATCACTGCAGTGCATTAAATTCTTGAACCATGGCTTCCTCCATTGGTGGTGCTTGACTGCCTGACTGAAACAGGTTGGTTCAACTAAAGAAAGTTCAGTAGAGACATGCATAGCATATTTAGGATTAGGTTTTTGTATTCCAGACCATGATCGAGTCGTCATGCGCGGCCTTGGTACTGAGAATTGATTTATTGAAACAATATCGTGGTCTGAAGGTGGCAGAGACTGAGGCTTGGTTGACTCAACAACTAAGGCTTGCTTATTTAAATTTTGGTTCGTGGAACTAGGGTCAGGGAGAGATAAGGTGGTTGGCGGGTTGGAAGGATAAGATAACATGGGATTTTGGGGAATAGTATTATGATCAAGATTTGGCGAATTGGACGTGGTTATGTTTGGCTAGGATGGGGACTCTAAATGGTGGGTAGGGTTCAGCAAAGTGGGGGAAGTATCTGAAAAAAGTATAGGAAATGTGAACAAAAGACCAGGAGATGCAAAACGACCTGTGTTATCAACGTTTTCTCGCAAGGATGTGAGTTCCTTAAATAGAAATGAGTCCTCATCGAATAGGACATGGCGAGACAAATAAATTCGTCTCGTGGACAGGTCCAAACATTTATACCCTTGATGATTCAATGAGTATCCTAAAAATACACATGGTTTTGACTTGGGTTGAAGTTTATTTTGTGCATAAGGAACAAGCCAAGGAAACACTTACAACCAAACACCTTTAACGTCTCATAGTTTGGAGATTTTTCAAACAATGTCTCATAGGGCGATTTATGGGACAAAACCCGAGTTGGCAATCTATTAATTAAATAAGTTGTTGTTGAACATGCATCAAACCAATATTTGTTTGGAATGTGAGAGTGAGAAAGCATGACAATACTCGTTTCAACAATATGTCGATGTTTTCGTTCTGCTAGGCCATTTTGCTCGGGGTGTTTGGGACACGAAACCTTTGAGAAATTCCATTTGTTGCAAGAAATTGTTGAAAACCTTTACTTTTGTACTCACCTCCTTCATCACATTGAGGTATCAAACATATTTTCAACCTTAGCTTTAAATTGAACAAATATTTCAAACACTTCAGACTTATTTTTCATGGAAAAAATCCAAGAATACCTAGAATAATCATCCACAAACAAGACATAATATTGAACCTTCAATTGAAATAACTGGAGAACACCAAACATCGGAATGTAAAAGTTGTAAGGGAAATTGAGAAACAGACTCTGAAGTACTAAACGGTAACTTAGTACTTTTTCCTAAAGGACATGACTGACAAAACGTTACATCAACAGTACCATGAATTGGTACGTGTTTATTTGAAATTAAAAACTTGATAATAGAAGACTCAGGATGACCAAGACGTGAATGCCATTTTTGAGCCAAGACTCGAATGCCTAGACACACTGAAATAGGGTTATTGAACTGTCCACCGCCACCAAAAAATGGGTATAAGCCATTCTCACATCTCCCGCGGAAAAGCGTCTTCCAGGTCTTGAGGTCCTTAACAAGAAAAAAATTAGGAAAGAGGAGTAAATAGCAATTATTGTCTAGGGTAAATCGGTGTGCAGAAATAATGTTGGTTGAGGCAGTGGGGCATCTTAAAATATTTTGCAATTTAAATGAGCAAGATTGAGTTTGTATTTGATTCGAACCAACATAAGAGATAGAAAGGCCATTATCATTACCTACACCACCCACATTCTGATTACCATTATACTCTTTTGGGTTTACCAAATTCTGGATGTCTGGAGTTACATGAGCATTAGCACCGGTGTTCAAAAGCCACTGTCCATTATTCTGCCGATTGAGAGGAACCGGAGATGTTACCATGGCAGTGAGCTGTTTTGCTGGAATTCTCCCTTTATAGGCTGCATTCATTCTTTGATAACAATATAGGGCAGGATGCCCTTGTTTTCCACATATCTGGCATGTGAGTCGTTCTTCTGTGGTAGTAAATTTCTCACCATTGCAGGCCGAATTTGGCCTTTGATTATTGTTGCGAGGAAAGAACCCCCGCGGGTTGACATCACCACCACCACGTGCGGACGGAAAAACACCACGTCCATTTCCACAAAGTTGTCCACCACGACCTCTGGCAGTGACAAAGGCATTCACCGGAGCAGCCTCCACAGGCTGAGCAGTCTATGCAGCCATTCGTCTCTCGGTAGTCAGTAAGAGGGCCTCAAGTGTAGGGTACGCGATTGGAGTATCACGTGCTTGAGCAGCACTCACTGTCATTTCATAGGCAGGGCCTAAATTGTTCAAGATAATCTGGACAAGTTCATCATCATTGACGGGGTTGCTAGCTAGGGCAAGGTTATCAGTAATCGAGTTCATTCGATCAAGATAGTCAGCAATAGATATGTCTCATTTCTTAGTTTGCATCAGTTCATTGCGAAGAAACAAAATACGATTTTAGGACGTAGAAGCATACCGTTGCTTGAGAGCCTCCCAGGTGTCATGAGAGGACCTTTTGCTGGCGACGACAGACAACACAGATGGCGTGAGAGAGCCATTGATCCAGCTTAGTATCATTTGATCATGCTGCACCCATGTTGTGTATGCTGGGTTGATAGCAGCAGCACCAGGAAGATGTTTGGGTGGACATACGATGGACCTATCAACATATCCCGTTAGGTTACGACTCTTGAGGATTGGTAGGATCTGAGCCAACCATAGAGGATAGTTGGTTCGATCCAGTTTGATGTTGACAACCGTAGTCATGGATCAGAAAGGATTCATGGCAGGGTTTGAAATAGAGTTGGTGGAGGTTGCAGCGTCGTTTGGGGTATCAGCCATGGAAAAAAAATCAGGATCTAAGTCGTTAGACTGCTAGGGCTCGTATACCATGTAAAACTTAAGAACTCTCAAGGTTTCACTTTAATTGCATGCCGTTTCAAAGAGAGGCTGCATGTATTTATATTCACGTTCAGATTACATCAGGGATTGAAATCCCTATTTACAAGGCTGTTTCAAATTCAAAATTACAACAGAAGCTAGAAAACGTATTACGGAAAACAACTAACATTCGAAAAGAAGTTTGAACTAATCTAACTCTTCTTGGATAAGAGTTTAGGTTGATCACAACCTCCTGAATCTTAACAATCGTCATTATTCTCATAATATGATCTCAAAGAATTGAAGAAGAACACTTAACAGAGAAGAAAGAGGGAAAAACTTCTATATTTCTCATTAACTATTATTTCCTTTTAGAATACAGACTACTTAACCGACAATACAAGGAGGGAAAATAGTATTTTTTATCCTAACAGCTCAAATACATTGGCTTAAGACATAAGCTACTATTGCGCATGTGGCACTGCTGACATGGCAAATGATACTTATCCAATACCCCCCCTCAATCTTAACTGAGGTAACTCAGTTGAAGATTGAAACAATGGCGCAAAAAATCAGGACCATGAAGACCTTTGGTTAATACATCTGCAATCTGATCTTTAGTACACAAATATTCAACAAGCAAATCACCCTTTTGAACTCGTTCACGAACGAAATGGAAGTCAGTCTCCAGATGCTTAATCCGAGAATGCTGAACAGGATTTAAACTCAAGGCAATTGCAGATTGGTTATCACAATAGATCACTGGAGGAGAAAACAAATATTCATGTAAATCCTTAAGGATTAATCTGATCCAAGCAATGTCTGCAGTAGTATGAGCCAAAGCACGATATTCAGCCTCGGTGGAACTCCGAGAAACAGAAAATTGTTTCTTGGATTGCCACGAAATCGGATTATCTCCTAAATAAACAACATAACTAGTGATGGAACGCCGAGTATTCAAATCTGCAGCCCAATCAGAGTCACTGTAGGCTTTTAACTGCATAGGACTTCCAGAAGTGTATGTCAAACCACAATGAATTGTGCCCTGGAGAAATCTCAGAATTCTTTTCACCATACCAAAATGTACATGAGTAGGTGCACTCATATATTGACAAACAGTATTGACAGCAAAGGCGATATCTGGACGAGTAAAGGTCAAGTACTGTAAGGCTCCAACTAAACTCCGATATAAGGTAGGATCAGGAAGCAAGTTACCTGCAGTAGTCAAGATTTGATTATGTGGTTTGCAAGGAGTTGAACACGACTTACAATCAGCCATCCCAGCTTTATGGAGAAGATCTTTGACATACTTGGCTTGACTAATGAACAAATCTCCATTAGGCTTATATATGACTTGAAGACCAAGAAAATAAGCTAATCTGCCCATGTCCTTAAGAGCAAAAACCTCACTGAGAGTAGTAATCACAGACTGAATCAATGAAGTACTAGAACCTGTGTTTATGATGTCATCGACATAAAGGAGTAAAATAACCACATGAACCCCATCTGTCTTCACAAACAAACTTGAATCGAATAGAGAAGCTTCAAAACCAATGGCTTGCAGAAAACTAGTAAACTTCTCATTCCAGGCTCGAGGAGCTTGTTTCAAGCCATATAAAGATTTTACCAGTTTACAAACATGTGTGGGAAACTGAGAATTAACAAAACCTTGAGGTTGTTTCATATAAACCTCCTCTTGTAACTCAAATACATTGGCTTAAGACATAAGCTACTATTGCGCATGTGGCACTGCTGACATGGCAAATGATACTTATCCAATACTGAATTGGAGGAAACCACCACCAGACTCGGACTTGGTCTAACAGAGTTGATCCTTTTCTTTGTTGAGAACCAAAATACATGGAGGAATGCATTTACGACGTTACTCAAAATACCTAGCATTGCCTCTGCGGCTTTCGCCACCATGTCCTTCGAAGGAACCGTAGGGGAGGACGTGATTTTCTTGAGGAAATGAAGAAAGTATGCGAATGCGTACAACCAAAAATACGTGTGCGTGTAGAGAGGTTGGCAATGGAGGAAGGCAGAGACAAAGCATGCACCATTCTACATCAAAGCGATGTTCTTGGGGTTGATACCATAGTTGTAGGGCAACGAAGGAAAATTTCAATGGATATTTTAGGGTGAGTTTTCTTTATCGCCATTTCTTTTTTGGGGTAAACAGCTACGAAAAAACGAATTAAAATCGAATAAGTTGCAGGTTTAATTCCTTCCAATGTAACTGTTGGCTAAATATTTTGATATTGTATACCTGTGGAACAGATCACATACGTGGCGTGGAGGGCGAGTGGCGAAGGCGATAGACACAGCGGACTACTTGATCGAAAATAACAAGCGGACTTGTGTTGCAGTACAGAAAAAGGGGTTAGAAGATGGAGGCTACCTTCTCAACTCAAGAACCCACAAAAATTTCTGGCTTCTGGCTTAACCTCTCTCGCTTGATCAAATCACCACCTTAACCTGGCTGGGATCGTGGTTAGTAATTCATCATGTTTAATTTCTCTCGGTAAAGGAATGAATTCCATATGTACAAAAGGAGATTGCACATGTTTGGAAATGCTGCTGCCTCTGGGAAACCCTTGGACATATTTGACAATGCTAGGTCACAGCAATTACAAACTGTACAAAGTAATCTCCTCATTGGTTTGAAACACACATTTCAGAATTCTTTCTGCATGCATGAATCTTTCTACTGGTTCCCCTCCACTTCATGAACATTATAAATTGTCATATATTTGGGCATGATCTATGCCATTTGTAGATAACAACTAAGTTGTCCGGTCGGCTAGGTACGTATATCTATTATTTTTACAACATACATCACGTGATCAACATCTACTACTTTAATAGATCATGCATCGCAACAACTCATGAGTGTAACAAAATCTAAAAAAATAGAAAACCATACAAATTGTGGTACGAACTTCTAAGGTCGTAGGTCATTATTGACTCAGCATACGTATCATAAAAGGAAAATTCGACCTGGGCTGGTCTAAAAAATGTTAGGTTTTAAAGGTTTCGATACAAACCCTGGCCTTCAGCAACTGGGTTGGTCCATTTGTTCCTTTTTATGATCCGGGTCAGTCCATAATATTTTTAAAAATGGGTTTTTATCACAAATGGTCCTTGGAATTTATCTTTATTATCAAGATGGTCTCTGAAATTGAAAATCAATAAATGTAGTCCTTGAAAATAGATGTCACAAATCAATGTGGTCTGTTAAAATTTCCGTTAAGTGCTAATGTGGCACCTAAATGGGCCTCACAAGATTTACGGGTTTTTATCACAAATGGTCCTCGAAATTGACTCACACCATCAAGATGGTTCATGAAATTGACCCACACCATCAAGATGGTCCCTAAAATTAAGATCGATGAATGTAGTCCTTGAAAATAGGTGTCGCAAATCAATATGATCCTTCGGCCACAAATCTGTAAAAAAATAAAATAAAAAAATTATGTGCTAATGTAGGTTTAATAATTCATTAAAAAAAGTTGTCTAAATACCATTTTGCACAAGAGAATTTTTTTTCTTATAGTAGGACCTACTCCGAAGAGAGATCCCTTCCATAAATTCTCAAAGGCACAAGGCTTAACCAAAGCCTATGAGAGGGTTTGGAAATAGTTTTCAACCAACAATAAACGCACCTCGATTATAACCTCATTATCTCAAGGCAGACCTTGCCTTTCTTTGAGTCACTAGACCACTAGGGAAGCGCCAAACAAGCTTTCCAAGATTATGATTGTGAGTAGGCCTGACAAACGGGTCGTGTCAGTCGTGTTCGTGTCGTTTTCGTGTAACACCTGTTATCTTAACGGGTCCTTAACAGGTTGTGTCACTTTACCCAACGGGTAAAGTGACCCGACCCGTTATGACCCATTAAGAAAAATATATTTTTTTTCTTAAATTTGCATATACCACACATTGCCACATAAATATTACTTCAAAACATTAAAACACATTTGTCGTTTAAGTACTACATCTACACTCGAAAATAAGAGCCTAATAAAAAAATAATACACACACTACTAATCTATTACAAATTTTAAATGTGCAAAGATATGCAAAATGAAACAGTTTTGTTTTCAAGGTTGTGAAATCTTTCTCAAAAGTTTAAACCTCAATTTACAAAATCCTCGATTTACATCGATCATCATGAAATTGCATTGGAACTTTGGCTTGATCTATTGCCTTCAAGAGTTATGTTGATGATGTTTTCAATAAGGTTTTCCACGTCATAACTATCTTTCTGCATAAACTAAGCATAGAAAAACCAAACATTAAAAAATCATTCAAATTATGAGAAGTTTGCCAAAATAATTATGAAAAAAAATAAAACAATAGTACTATACCATACTTTTATTAAGTATAAACATAAGATTTTGTGGTTTCCACTAGTGTAAATATTTTAAATTGAAGATCGAATTCAATCATTGTATTCATATAAGGTCAAGGAGTGTAGTTGTAAAAAAATCATCAAAATCGGAGTTAAATTAACCGTTAAATCGTGATTTTTCGTTTTATAACCGTCGAAAAGTTTTGTCCCGTTACGTGCTCTCTGAATGTTTGTTTTTTGCAATTTTTGGCGTATGCTATCTCGAAATATATAAAAACATGTTTGACGGTTGGATCATTGAAACTAGTTTCGTAGAATGAGTATCCCATCAAAACAATAGATTCACTAATACTTAAGAGTTTATTCATACTTTTATTAAGTATAACATAATATTTTGTGGTTTCCACTAGTGTAAATATTTTAAATTGAAGATCGAATTCAATCATTGTATTCATATAGGGTCAAGGAGTGTAGTTGTAAAAAATCATCAAAATCGGAGTTCAAATGACCGTTAAATCGTGATGTTTCGTTTATAACCGTCGAAAAGTTTTGTCCCGTTACTTGATCTCTAAATGTTTGTTTTTTACAATTTTTGGCGTATGCAATCTCGAAGTATATATATAAACATGTTTGACGGTTGGATCATTGAAACTAGTTTCGTAGAATGAGTATCCCATCAAAACAATAGATTCACTAATACTTAATAGTTTATTCATACTTTTATTAAGTATAGTATAAGATTTTGTGGTATCCACTGGTGTAAATATTTTAAATTGAAGATCGAATTCAATCATTGTATTCATATAGGGTCAAGGAGTGTGGTTGTAAAAAAAACATCAAAATCGGAGTTAAAATGACCGTTAAATCATGATTTTTCGTTTATAACCGTCGAAAAGTTTTGTCCCGTTACTTGATCTTTGAATGTTTTTTTTTTGTAATTTTTGACGTATGCGATCTTGAAGTATATACAAACATGTTTGACGGTTGGATCTTTGAAACTAGTTTCGTAGAATGAGTATCCCATCAAAACAATAGATTCACTAATACTTAATAGTTTATTCATACTTTTATTAAGTATAATATAAGATTTTGTGGTTTCCACTAGTGTAAATATTTTAAATTGAAGATCGAATTCAATCATTGTATTCATATAAGGTCCAGGAGTGTAGTTGCAAAAAATCATCAAAATCAGAGTTAAAATGACCGTTAAATCGTGATTTTTCTTTTTATAACCGTCGAAAAGTTTTGTCCCGTTAATTGATCTCTGAATTTTGTTTTTTGTAATTTTTGACGTATGCGATCTCGAAGTATATACAAACATGTTTGACGGTTGGATCTTTGAAACTAGTTTCGTAGAATGAGTATCCCATCAAAACAATAGATTCACTAATACTTAATAGTTTATTCATACTTTTATTAAGTATAACATAAGATTTTGTGGTATCCACTAGTGTAAATATTTTAAATTGAAGATCGAATTCAATCATTGTATTCATATAGGGTCAAGGAGTGTGGTTGTAAAAAAACATCAAAATCGGAGTTAAAATGACCGTTAAATCGTGATTTTTCGTTTATAACCGTCGAAAAGTTTTGTCCCGTTACTTGATCTTTGAATGTTTGTTTTTTGTAATTTTTAACGTATGCGATCTTGAAGTATATACAAACATGTTTGACGGTTGGATCTTTGAAACTAGTTTCGTAGAATGAGTATCCCATCAAAACAATAGATTCACTAATACTTAATAGTTTATTCATACTTTTATTAAGTATAATATAAGATTTTATGGTTTCCACTAGTGTAAATATTTTAAATTGAAGATCGAATTCAATCATTGTATTCATATAAGGTCCAGGAGTGTAGTTGCAAAAAATCATCAAAATCAGAGTTAAAATGACCGTTAAATCGTGATTTTTCTTTTTATAACCGTCGAAAAGTTTTGTCCCGTTAATTGATCTCTGAATTTTGTTTTTTGTAATTTTTGACGTATGCGATCTCGAAGTATATACAAACATGTTTGACGGTTGGATCTTTGAAACTAGTTTCGTAGAATGAGTATCCCATCAAAACAATAGATTCACTAATACTTAATAGTTTATTCATACTTTTATTAAGTATAACATAAGATTTTGTGGTATCCACTAGTGTAAATATTTTAAATTGAAGATCGAATTCAATCATTGTATTCATATAGGGTCAAGGAGTGTGGTTGTAAAAAAACATCAAAATCGGAGTTAAAATGACCGTTAAATCGTGATTTTTCGTTTATAACCGTCGAAAAGTTTTGTCCCGTTACTTGATCTTTGAATGTTTGTTTTTTGTAATTTTTGAC